ATGATGTAAAATTTAAGTGGAAAGGAATCGTTGCCAACAAAAATAATTTCAGGAGTATAAAAATGAAAAATGGGAAACATTGGTAACTGTTTAACTGCGCAATAGGGAACACGCATTAAGAAATTAAATTGGATCAAAGGAGTTTGCTCTGAAAAATGCTTGCTCAGTGAAAATCCATCCAAGTTTCCATCTTCTGTGACTCCCCCACATCCATGTCAATGACCCTTACTGGCTTACAGCCCCCAGTGGCTTCTGTGGATGTCGCCGACCCACTTTGTGCCTTATTTACACGTATAACAACTCTGGTTCCAAATATTGACCTGGGAACGCCAGCTCTCTGTACACAATCTCTTAATTTTCCACTTGTTCCATTCTCTATCACTTCCCTTTTATAGATCACTTTCTTTCTCTCCCTTCAATGTTTGTGTCCCCATGGCTTCCATCTCCAGCTTCCTTCTCCTTCCACATGCTCTCCCTGGGCGACTTCCAACCGTCTCGGATATTTCATGCTGATGGCTACAAGATTGATATCCTTAGCTGTAACAGTCATGCTTCTTAGCGTCTGTTAACAACAACGACAAGAAGACTGATCACCTTAAGCAGGAAGAGGAATTTACTGGAAAGATACTACGTTTCTCAAGAACTGACCAGAAAGAAGGCTGAAGAAGGCTTAGGCCTGAGCAAGGAGAGCAGAGACGGCAGAACCCCCGCCAGGGTCACACAGGGTGTGAGCAGGTCACACAGGGTCACACAGGGTGTGAGCTGGTCACAGCTGCTGCCACCGCGTGCCCTGGACCCAGGCGACACCACAGAGTTGCCTGAGGGAACCTAACTGCCCGGCTTCTCGGTGTCACTTGCCCAAGACTTCGGCTCCCCTTGGGCCACCTGCCCATGCCCTGGTTGCCAGGGTGAGGGGAGAGCAAGTGTCTGGTCTTGGTGGGGGGAGGGCCCCTCTCACCACAGTTTACCCAGTGGCCGATTCTGTAAACACAGGAAGTGGGTTCAGGGCCATGGAGCCCACAGAGCCTAAAATATTTACCAGATGGCCTTTTATGTAAAGGGAGTGCCAGCCCCTGACTGAGAGGTTGAATGGTCACAGACTTGAAGGTCGACCGGTCCCAAGATGTTTCAGGCCAGGCTTGTGTTATCTTTGGTGTTCTATTTGCTTCTGGGGTTCCAGGTGCGAGTACCAACGGCCAACTCTGTGGTCTAGATATAGATTTTAAACCTGAAGTCTCTGGCCATTTGCTTACTGACCTTTGTGCTGAATTCACTCCCCATCCCACACCAATTTGAGGGTACTTATCTTGAGGCCATCGAAACTACTGGCTTCTGGGGGAGTCAAAGCCCTTACCCACTCTGGGCCACTGGAGTGGTTCACTTGTCTTGGAGAGAGATCTTAAGGCGAAATGCTTGACAAAGATTAGGGCTGCACCACAGACTTACTTCCTGCAGCAAGGCTATCTCCTAATTTATAAATGCTTCAGTTCAGTGACCAGAATCGGTCACTTAGATTTTTCACCCACAAAAGCTCCACATTCTTGGGCCCTGATGCAGCGTGGGTGGCAGGCAGGGAAAGCAGAATCTTCTACAGAGCTTTCCTCCCTCCCTCCCCCACCCACCACAGACTGATGAGGTTTCCCTGAGGTTATTCTAGAAGAGGCCAAAAGGACCCCAAATAGGCCAATATTTTGACTTCTTCCTCAGTGATTTCCTTCAGAGCCACAGGCTGGGTTCATACCTCCCAGCATGTTGTGGGCGATAGCGTAACCAAATGTTTTGGCATGGCATAACACGCAGTGATTTAGATTTTGAGGGGTATAAGGGAGACCCCAAATAACAATGACTTTGATAGAAGTGACCCATCTCTCATGTCATGGCAGCTCTGCTTTAAGAGGTTGCCCAGGGACCCAAACCCTTTCTATTTGGTCGCTCCCTTTGAAGATGAATGTCCCCCTGCCCATATTCCGTGCAGTGGGATGGAGGCAGTAAACATGACATCATCCCTGCCCCCTTTAAAGACATGCCCGGGAAATGGCCTACCTCCCTACGTCTCCATATGTCACCGGGCAAAAGCTAGTCATATAACCACATATGGCTGAGAAGAGGCTGGAGATACCATCTTTACTAGAGAGAATAAAGAGATTCCATGTTGGTGGCCAACTCTTATCTCTACCCCAGACTCCATAATCAATTAGTCCCCACCAAATCAGGTCAGACCATTTTGATTGTGACTCTGGCCCTGCAGTCTATTATAACCACCAGGATCACCTTGCAGTCAAATGCCTGAAATCAGCTCTTTCATTCTGATGTCTTTCCTTTTCCATGAAAATCAAGGATCCCACTTCAGTTGCATCCAATTGCATCATTGGTTTATAGAAATCAGTCATGAAATTGCTTTTCAGAGATGCTGGTGCTCCCCCACCAGCACATTTTTGTCTTCTGGGCCCTCTTGAGGATAGAACTAACAGATGTATGGGCAGGTCACATGTGATAAATCCTCTACAGCATTTTCTATCTCTACATGTTGGATTCTTTCCTCCATGATTCCCTAGAATTTCGTTTCTCATGAGTCACTGTTAAGTCCCAGTTTCAAATTAAAAACCTACACGACCATTAGGGCCACTTGCAGTGGCTGGAGATAGCACACTGACTCCTAATTTCTGGGGAGGGTCCTCCTGATTTAATAGTGATGTAAAATTATGTAGGCTTGGCAAACATTATGATGGGCAAGCCGCCCCCAGGCCCCCCACCCCCAAGGAATGAAGGACTCATTTCCTCAGCTGCTGGGGATGTTGCTGACACTGGGGGCTCAGGTGAAGAAAACTGCATTTTCCAAGGTCATGCCTCTTTCCTGGAGCAGCCACATTCAGTGGCTGGTCAAAGTTGGGCTATAAAGGCCTGGACCTTTGGCCCCAACTTGGACAACTCTGAATGGCCATCTGAGCTCACTGTGGGATCGGCCGAAGCCTTGGCTGCTGGTGCACATGGCTCACTATGCCCAATTTCCCTCTGCCCAATTTTGCTTCTGTTGCTTCTATTCCATAGGCATGGTCCCAAGAGCACTTCCTAATAAAGATTCAGCATGCTCGTCTCCATCTCTGCGTCTGCTTCTCTGAAATTCTTCTGATGAAGATTTAACTTTGCAAGTAATTATGCCCCCTGCTTCCAGGTTGAGCTGGGATCTGACTGTAGTTATAGAACATGCACTTAGAAGCAATGAGCAATGAAGTGGGGGAAGGAGGCATGAGTAGAACTGGTTTCCTTCTGCAAGGAAATGTGTGAAGAGAGTTGCAGCATCTTCAGACTAGGTATCAGACAAGGGAGGGGAATGTGTTCCAGCTGGCAAGGAAGACCTAGTGTGGGTTCAATGTTCAGTGTTATCGTGAGTCCTTCAGATCTTCCCAAGTGTCTTTATTACAATTTGGGGGGTTACAAGTCTTTCCTGAAAATGCCTTAACCTTCACATAACATACCCAGGAAATTTGTCAATTCAATAGATGTTGAAATATGGCAGTGCAACTCTGTGCTTGCTTTTCAGCTATTTTAGCCTGCAAATGATAAGATACTGCTTTAACACATTATTAGAAAGTCTTTGGGTTGAAAGTTTAGAGATTTAGGCTTGTCATTTTCTTTTTCAAAAAGGCCCAGTGCTCTTAGGAAAAGCCATACCTAACAATGGTCCTTATGACTCACGCTTTTCATTTTGTTTTATGCAAGTAGCAATATGGTCTTCAGAGTTTTGCTTTAATGAGTTCATCGTTCCAGGTGACGGTCAGTGATAATTTTAGCAGTTTGCCACTGAGGGCCAGGGGCTGCCAGCCTCCCTTCCTAAACATTAACTGGAGTTTACTCTTCCCTCCCCTGACAGGCCAGAGAAACAACTCTCCCTGTACCCCTATCCTGTTGTTGATTTCTTACTAGTTGGGGTTCTTGACTGTAAACAACAGAAACTAACACTGGTTGACTTAATTAGAAATAGAATTAATTTAGGAAGGATATTGGGGAGCTCACGGAGTCTGCAGGAGAGCTAAAGAACCAAGTTTAGAGAATGAGCAGGAGTCAAGTTAGGGTGGAGTGGAGGGGACCATGGCCACCAACACAGGATGCTGCATGTTACTACTGGAACCATCTGAATGAATTTTCAACTATCTCCTGCTATTTGTTTCATTAATGAAATAATGTTGAGTAAAAGTAGTTGATTGGTTGCATTTGGGTCATGTGTCCCATGACCCCAGTGTCACGAAGAGTAAGTATCTGGCCCCTTGGACTTTTGAAGGATCAGTGGGGTATTGCTTCCCACTAAACTCATGCAATGGCAGATTCTATTCTCCAACATAGAAAGTGGGTTCAGATGTTGGGCAGCAAAAACAAAACTAAACCACAAAACCCAGTTCATTACATGAGCCCTCCCTCTTCTCTCTTTGGACACCCCACAGGCTGCTCAGGGTCCCCATATCTAAATGAAAGTCACCATCCTCACAGCTACACATACTCATCCTGCATCCCCCAGCTCAGTTGGTAACATTCTCTCCATCTGTTCAGTTATCTAAGCTAGAAACCCATGAGGCTCCCTTGGTTCTCTCTTATCCCCACATCCAATCAATTACCCTATCATTTAGATCCTGCCTCTTAGGGATTTCATGAATTCATCTCTTCCTTGTCTTTACTGCCACTACCCTATTTCAAGACTTAATTTTCTCCTCATTGAATTATTTCAATAGCTTCTTTTAAAAAAAATTTTTTTTTAATTTATTTGTCAGAGAGAGAGAGAGAGCGTGAGAGAGTGAGCTAGCATGAGCAGGGGGAGCGGCTGGCAGAAGAAGAAGCAGGCTCCCCGCTGAGCAGGGAGCCTGACTCGGTCTTGATCCCAGGACCCTGGGATCATGACCCAAGCTGAAGGCATACGCTTAACTGACTGAGCCACCCAGGTGTCCCTTTAATAGCTTCTTAACTGGTATATCAATTAGCTATTGAAGCAATAATTCTTGTAGCAAACTACCCCCAAACCCAGTGGCTTGTCGCAATAAGTATTTATTTCTCATTCACGTGCCTGTAAGTTGGCTGCAGTTCAGTGATCTAGAATGGGCTTGGCTGGACTTGCCTTAGCTGCAGGTTGGGTTTAGGTCTATTTCATTCGTCTGTCATCCCTCTGGCAACTGTTGGCTACCAGAAAAATGCAGGGGCATGTTTTTCTCATGGTGGAAGGTGGGAACACAAGTGTGGTAGCTCAACCATGCCAGCATATATCAGATCTTTACTCGTGCCATGTCTACTAACATCCATTGGCCAAATCAAGTCCAAGGTCAAAAAGTGTACTGCGTCCACAATGAAAGGCATGGATGCATAATGCTACCCAAGTGGAATGAAGAATTGGGACCAAGAATTCAATCTATTACAAATGGATTCTCTGCCTCCAGTCTTGTCCCCCACAGATTAATCTTTCAAACTGCTTCCAGAGGAATCTATCCAGATGGCAATCTGACTTTGTAATTTTCCTGTTTAAAACTGGTTTTTATAAGTACAAGGATATATTAATAGGTCCTTCATAATTTGGCCACTGGCTGCCTCATCAGTTTTACTTCTTGCCACCTCCACATCACCGTCCACTCCCTGACTCCATCTTTAAGATTTGATAATACGAAGCTGCCATGGTTTTCCTTTCATGCCTTCGCTCATACCATTTCTTCTTGCCTCTCTGCCTCTGTTCAACAGGTTAATGGACATCTTGCCATCAGCCGTTAGGGGAGGCATCACCCCTAGCCTTTGCTTCTGAGCCCCTGTTATGGACTGAATATTTATCTTACCCTAAAATTCATGTGTTGAAATCCAGCCCTCAATGTGGTGGTATTTGGAGGTGTGGCATTGGTAATCAGGTAATTACGTTATGATGGTGGAACCCTCACAGATGGAACTAGTGCTCTTAAAAGGCAACAAGGGGACCAGAGCTCTGGTCTGTGAAGACACAGCAAGAAGTTGGCAACCTATAGGTTGGAAGAGGGCCCTCACCAGGACCCAAACATGCTGGTACCCTGATCTCGGACTTCCAGCCTCCAGAACTGTGAGAAATAAATGTTTATTGTTTAAGCCACCCAGCCTAGGGTAATTTGTTATAGCAGCCTGAGCTAAGACAGTCCCACAATGTCACCCCAAGACATATTTGTTGGTTTACTTGACATTTTTTCCCCCATCATGCCATTAGCCCTTTGGTTTTGGTCTTCCTGCTTGGGATGGTATCTGGCTCATAGAAGGTGTTCAGTAAATGTTGATCTGAGCTGAACTGCTTCACATTTACTCACTTCTTATCCCCCAGACTGCCTGTGCTATTATTATTATATTTCTGAGGCCACTAGACCTATTTAGGAAGTAATGAAGAATTGTGACTTCTTCAGTGAGGAAGGATGAGAAGAGCCCTAGAATGGCTGGAGAATAGCTGATTGGATAAATTAGGGTGTGTTGAATGGAAGTATGATAATGAATTTTGATTTGGGAAGGTGGGTTTCAGCTAGTCAGAGCCTAGTAGAAATGACCATCTAGGAACCAGAGGTGGGAAATAGGTCAAGGCTGGAGATGTGTATTTGGCCTTGTCTCTTTGGAGGTAATAATGGAAGAAGCCTCTAGGGTTACCTAGAGAGAGAACAAAGCTCTGAAGAGAGGGCTTTGCCGACAAGAATTCTCTGCAGTGTGATGGGGGAGCGAAGTGAACCACCAACTGATCAGATGAACAAATAGGTTCCAAAGTGTTAGTAAGTCTTTTTTTTTTTTTTTAAAGATTTATTTATTTATTTGAGTGGGGGAGGGGCAGAGGGATTGGGAGAGAGAATCCTCCAGCAGACTCCCCACTGAGTAGGGACTCTGACCCGGGACCTTGAGATCATGAACTGAGCTGAAACCAAGAGTCAGATGCTTTACTGATTGAGCCACCCAGGAGCGTAAATTTTAATGTTACCTGTGCAGAGATGGCAGCTGAGCTGTAACACAAACCTTCTGAAGAAAATATCTCGCTCAAAGGAGTAACTGATGGTGGACAATCTGTTCCTGTGATAGGGTTTTTGTGGCCTTCTCAGATCCCATCACCTAAGTTGCTGCCAGCCATAAACATTCACAGAGGTTCTTAAAATAGTAGAATATGATGTTTGAAGCCCATGGATGTGGAAATGAGCTAGCTTTGATTTATTTTTAATGAGCTTAGAGATCTGGTATGGGCACTGGAGGCTTCTAAGAAGACTGAAAACAATCTAAGATGAGTAATAGGTTCCTCCAGCGACCGGACTATAGCAATTTACTGAAAAAATAAAACCCTAAAACTTTTTAATAGCATGAATGTTTAGGGGAAACCCTGTGAACCCTCAGTGCCAGGGTCTAAAGATCTGGATTGCCAGCTATTTCCCATAACAGGAATAGAAGACGTTCTGAAAAGTTCAAACGAAGAAAAATCACAGTTAACCTTGCACTTGATTTCCTCAGAGTGCCAGGCAATTCTCCCCTGAATCTATCCTAGACTGAAACGCTTGTTAAAGTTGCATTGATTGTGTTCACAGTTAGATGCTCTAGTCAAAAAGTTTGTCTGCCAACTCTGCTTTATTAACCATGAAATGATTTTCTTTTCATGCATTATTGAAAGCCCCAGGTTTAATAAAGTCAATGGCATAAAAATGTTAGAAATGGGTAGAGCTGCTTTTCATGATTCACGGGGAAACTTTCAGAGCCAAGCATGGGAGCAGGGAGACGCTGCATTGTTGCCCCAGGGATGAAGGTGGGGGACAGGCTGGCCTCGGTTACCCTTCTCCTTTCTGCATTGGAGGAAATAATCTTTTTGGTTCATGCCACTTCTCTAATTGGGTTCAGCTCGGCACAGAGATTGGAGAATAAGAGAGAGGTAAACATGTGAGGGAGAAATAAAAAAAAGCTGGAATTTAAATGGTGCTATTTTCCTTCAGTTTAAGAGAGAGGAACTTATCAGATGAAACAGACTTCAAGACAAAAAGTATTACCAGAGATAAAGGAGGGACATTTCATAATGACAAGAAGATCAACTTGCCAGGAAAACATAACAATTGTAAGTATCCATGTGCCTAAATAACAGAGCTTCAAAATACATGAAGTATAAGCCCCTCTTCCAACAACTGAGAGAAACACTAGACCCCCCACCCCACCCCCAAAATTCAGTAAAGATATAAATGATACAAATGAACTGCACGGTCAACCACCTTGGACTGACTGGTATTACAGAACACCACACCTTACAATTATTTTCAAATGTGCATTCTACATTCACCAAGATAGACTGTATGTGGGCCATAAAACAAGGCTCCATAAATGTCAAAGGATTGAAATAATATGTTCTCTGACCACCATGTAATCAAATCATATTAGAAATCAATAACAATATGGTATTTAGGAAAACTCATGATATTTGAAATTAAACCACGTCTTTCTAAATAATCTATGCATCACCGAAGAAATCAAGAATGAAGTTAGAAAATATTTAAACTGAAATAATGAAAATGCCACATAACCAAATTTGTGGGATGCAGCTAAAGCAGGGCTTAAAGGGAAATTTATAGCTTTCCATGATTACATTAAAAAAGAAAGGTCTTAAAAAAGCAATAGGTGTAGTTCTATCTTCATTAATTTATTTAATTTATTTATATTGAGCACTTAATTGTTGGGTGAACAGTACTGAGCAAAACAGACATGTTTCTTGCCCTCCTGGTGGCCACAGTCTACTGAGAGAGAAAGCTGATAAATAAGCAAGCACAGATAAATATAAAATTAAAATTATGATAAATGCTATGAAAGGAAAAGAACAGGGTACTATGGAGGAGGTAATCTAATTCACATCGGAACATAAAAGAAAGCCTCTGTGAGAAAGCAACATTTGAGCTCAGTGGGACTTGAGTTAAAAGCAGTTCCAGTTTTGAACAAGAGGGGATGTTCTAAGTAGAAGGGGCTATGTGTGGAATAGGTAGCTGGATATATGGGTCAGGGGCTCAGAGGAGAGACCATAAACCATCAGAATGATCAGGGTTCTGAACTGCAAGTGTAGCTAAGAATTATGTGAAATAGTAATCTATGTTCTGTGCATTTCCTTATCCTTCTGCCTTGGGTCCCCTGGGGGGTGGTTTCTCTTCTTCTAACCCACCCCAAGTATAAGCAAAGATTCAGAGATGCAACAAGGCTAAGGGCCAGATGGAAAAGTCTGATGAGTCCTTGCAGAGAGATGTTTTTGGCCTTGGAGACTAGTTACGACCTGGACTGGAGGAAGAGTGAGCAGGGGTGAAAAGTCAGCTTGAATGGGAGAAGTGGGGGTGGAGGGACCAAGTTAGAAGAAGAAAGCTCTTGTCTTATCTTACAAGGACCAGGGAGTGAAAACACAAAGCTATCTAGAGTGTAGGCCCTCCACTAATCCAGGGGACCACCCATGATCCATCATAGTAGATACTTGTTAAACCTGTGAACAGAAGTGGGGGACTTGGACAGAATGTAAGGCAGGAGCCTTCAAACTTTTTGGTCTTCAGACCCCTTTACACTTTTAAAAAGTATTGAGAATCCCTAAGAGCTTTTGTTTATTAATGATATCTATAGTAGGGTTGCCAGATAAAATACAGGTTGCCTAGTTAAATTTGAATTTCTGGTAAACACTTTTAGCATAACTATACATGTCCCATGCAATAGTTGTATTTTTAAAAAGATTTTTTTTATTTATTTGAGAGAGAGAGCAGAGCAAGAGAGAGAGAGCACGAGCGGGAGTGAGGGGCAGAGGGAGAGGGAAAAGCAGACTCCCCGCTGAGCAGGGAGCCCAACATGGGGCCCGACCCCAGGACCCTGAGATCATGACCTGAGTCAAAGGCAGACGCATAACTAACTGAGTCACTCAGGCGCCCCTGCAATATTTGTATTTTTATTTGCTAAATCTGGCAACCCAGATCTATAAATATTTACTGAATTAGAAATTGAAACGGAGAAATTTAAAAAAATATATTTATTTATTAATTAAAATTAACAATAATAAATCCATTATAGGTTAACATAAATAACATTTTTATTAGAAAAACATATTTCCTGGGGACACCTGGGTGGCTCAACAATATTAGAATTTGCTAAGGAGTAGTTTGTTAATGTTTAGTTGCAATATGAAACTGAGTCTATATCAATGAACTTTTCATACTCAGTTACATTAAAATCTATTGATCTATCTTGCTCTTCAAATAGATCTTTTACTCATGTGTGATTTTATAACATCAGGCATTGGTCATTTGGAATATACTGGCTTACTGAGTTATGTAGATTTTCCAAGTGTTGGCACATTTCATTTTAACAATATCAAAAAATCATACTTGTTAATATTACCACCAATTTCATTAGAAAAGTACTGGGAAGCTATCAAACTCAAGGTGAAGGAAAAAGTTTTCCAAAATTCTCATTTTTTTTCTTAAAGCTCAAATTTTGTCCTTGGCTACAAATATGGTAGTCACTGAAAGGACAGGTTCGCTTGTTCATTTTCAAAAGTTTGACTTCCAAATATCCAATTCTGAATAACTCTGGCTTGCCAATCAGTCCTTCTTTCAAGTGAAAATGGTGTTGCATGAAACAAGAGTGGCTAGTTCAGCTTGCAACTCAAATAACCACACATGAGCTTTGCCTACAGATAATCATCATGCCCTAGTATGCAGCAGAAGTGTTTTCTGGGTACTTCCAATCTTGACACACAGAATTTTCTAAAAATGTGTATTTAAGGGTCAACAACACTTTATGGAGCGTTGCAATGCTTGTGCTTACCAAGCTCTGTTAAGAATTGGGTATTTCATGGAGGATAAAACAAGAATAATAGGATAGAACACAGACATAAACTTAAAAGCACATACAAAGCAAAATAAAAAGAGGCACAAATTATTATAGTCCCACCTCCTCCCTGGCGCTTGTTCAATTCTCTAGCCTATGGAGTCTGGAGCCCCTTGGGCCTCTCTGCCTGGAACGCTCCCTACTGTACCACCCTTGCTCCCCTACCCTGGACCTGCCTAGCGCGTGCTCACCAGGTTTCAGCTTGCACACCAGGTCTTCCATGAAAACGCTCCTAACTCAAAATTCTGCCTAGGAATCTTCCTATGTGCTCCTGCGACATCTCAACTTCTCTTATTACTTCTGTGCTTGTTTACTGATCTTCCTGACAAATGGAGTCTTAAACATGGGACCTTGTTTATCTTCCTTACTCAGGTAGGTCTTTCCCACAGTTGCATCCCCAGCACCCAGAATGTATTAGATGCTCTATACATATTTATGGAATGAATAAGTGAATCAATGAGTGAGTGAATAAATCAGGAGCCTGTAGGTACTGACAAGCCACAGCTTACAGGGATAACCTGGGCTGTGTGGAGGGGTCAGCAAAGCCCATTGGAAGGTGAAGTTCTGTGCAAGCCTATGAAGGCAGAAGGCCCCAGACTGGCAGGGGCCAGGGATGCCAGATTAGACAGTTGATACCTTTTCAGTGGGACGTGGAAGGATTTGTATTGCCGGAGGGAGGTATCTATTCTGGGTAGTAACTGGTTTCCTGAGTATTGCAGGTGCTGCTGGGACAGCACGCTTCTTCCAAGCCTGGGCCGTCGTGTGTTGTGGTGAATGTCGGAGCAGAACCTCAGCTCTGTGCGGCAGTGGTCGGGGCTGGAGTGGAGTGCAGGTGCCCTACGAGGCGGGCCTAGCTCCACCAGCTACAGCACTGTGTGATGCGAGGGATGCGGCCAACCCTTGGACACGTGACAGGAGCACCATCTGTACTCTGGGCGCTTCGATTTCGCAGCTGCCACAGCCCACTCAGGCAGATCTGACACAGCTTAGCGGATAGCTTTTCCAGGAGGTTCATAAATTTCCAATCTGCTGTGCTACGTTTTCCCCTACAACTAACCACCAACCAAATGTTAGTTTGGATTCAAGACCTGAAGGGTAATCGGCAAACGCATGGGCTCATCCCAGAATTGGAAAGGACGCTGGGGCTCAGATGGCCCTCTGAATGGACTGTTCCTGGAAGAGACATAGACACACATACACATATACACATGTAATTGTCAAATCTTTGCTAGTGTGTCTGTCTTTACACACAGATGTATTCCCCAGACATGGCAAGTAAATTGAATTTTTGTTATTTTCAATCTAATATTTCGTTCAAAATTAATGCAATCTTCAATGTTACTTTAAGGAATTCTGCAACGACTATTCCTTTTGCCAAAGTAAAAATAAGACCCTCGATTTGTCTTTTATACAAATTGTATATAAAAGCACATAAGCTTATATTTGTATGTTTGTGTCTTCTGTTGAGGATCATATCTCTTTTTGAAAATGCAGAAAACATTGGCTCCAACTAGCTTTAAGGTTTCCATGCCTTTTTGAAAAGACAGGGGAAAAGGTTGAGTTCTACACACAAAGTAGCTGGCACTAAGATTTCATCTTTATTGTTATCCATACAACATTATCCACACAACAAAAGACAGAAATGCAAAATTATACAGCATGTGGGGATGAAGTGCATTTTATTTATTTTTTTTAAAGATTTTATTTATTTATTTGAGAGAGAGAATGAGATAGAGAGAGAGCGCATGAGACGGGGGAGGGTCAGAGGGAGAAGCAGACTCCCTGCCGAGCAGGGAGCCTGATGCGGGACTCGATCCTGGGACTCCAGGATCATGACCTGAGCCGAAGGCAGTCGCCTAACCAACTGAGCCACCCAGGCGCCCTGAAGTGCATTTTAAATACAGCTTTTTGATATCTTTGTACCCATGGAGGTTAAAAATATTTATTGGGGTGCCTGGCTGACTCAGTCAGAAGAGCATGTGACTCTTGATCTCAGGGTCATGAGTTTGAGCCTCACATTGGGTGTAGAGATTACCTTAGAGTAAGTAAATATCCAAGTTCATATGACGGTGTGGAGGTAGACACCAGTTAACTTGGGCTTTAGAGAATCTGGGTGTACCCCTATAATTGTGAGTCAGCAGAAAAGTGAGTGTATTTTCAGGTTCTTCGAGGAATTTGTAGAAGTGAATATTTTTTCTCTGAGACTCATCTCCACACTGGTGCTCCTGATGGAAGAGCCCCGAATGGTAGAAGTTCTTTAACTGTATAAGGATGCTCTAGTTCAGCAGCGGATGGCAGGGTCTGTGTCTAATCTTGCATCCTCAGCACCTAACGCAGGGCAGGCACAGTGCAGGTGGCTTGGGGAACAAAGGAATGCAAGAACAAATGACTAGACGGAGACTGGTTTAGGCTGTGACAGAGCCATGCCGCACTCTCTAAGCGGGGGAGAGGCAATAAGCGGATAAATTCTCTTCAATTAACACGAAGGAGATCACACTGGTCTTTTTTCACATTCCTGGCAGCAGGCAGGGGTCAAGGCACTTGACTCAGACAGGATCAATCATAAGTTTTTCTTGGCTTGAGATGCAAACTTTGGGAAAGGTGCTCACCTCTTCACTCTTGAGTTGCCAAATGAAAAGATGTGACTTCTGGGCGGCTGTGCCCGCTGGTTACCTGGAGAAAGCAGTGTGGGTAGTAGGTAAGAAGGTAGCTAACCCACAAAATGAGGAATGGAGAGCTGGTAGTGGAGAGAGATGGCACCTGAACTTTGGAACCAGCTGCTCTTATAGTCCTGGTGATTTAGGAGGAGCTGGTTAGGTGGCCCAACAGTCTTTAGATTAAGCTATTTGAACTGAGTTTCTGTCACCTGCAACCAATCATCTCTAGATGATTATTTTGCATCTTTGATTATTAAGTCATGAACATACACTCTTTTTATAAAATAAGAACCCCCCCCCCAACAAAAGTGAACGTACACATATCCACAGACCCATACTTAGGTCAAGGGCTCCATTTCCCTGATTTCTGTGATAAGCACAGTGAGCTCAGGGATCATCCTCACTTGGCTTCATTACCCAGGTGTGTAAATTCCAATCTGGGGAGTGGGCAGGAATCAGATAGCTGCTACCGAATGCCACTATATCTTTGTAGAGAGATGGTGGCTAATCTTCTGTAAAATCCAAATTAAACAAAGTTGGGGACAAACCAACCAGGAAGCTGCCATCTAGAATCTTCTTCCTTTGGATGGGAAAGCTTTCCTCACTCTGTGGCCTTAGTGAACAGCTTTGGAATCTTCCCACTCACGACAGCACTTGTCTTTTTATTTTCTTAATGAAGACTTTTGAGGAATAGAAGTTTTAAACTTTGTTCCTCTTCTTCAAAATGTCTTTGGCTCTTACAGGTCTTTTGCATTTCTATATAAACTTTGGTATGAACTTGTCTATTTCTACCAAAAAAGTTTGCTTTTTAAAAAATTCAGATTGCGGGCGCCTGGGTGGCTTAGTTGGTTAAGCGACTGCCTTCGGCTCAGGTCATGATCCTGGAGTCCCGGGATCGAGTCGTGCATCGGGCTCCCTGCTCGGCAGGGAGTCTGCTTCTCCCTCTGACCCTCCTCCCTCTCATGCTCTCTGTCTCTCATTCTCTCTCTCGCAAATAAATAAAATCTTAAAAAAAAAAATTAAAAAAATAAATAAATAAATAAAAAATTCAGATTGCATTGAATCTAGGATCAATTTGGGAAGACATGACATCTTAACAATGTTGAGTCTTTTGATCCATGATTTATTTAGATCTTTCATTTCTCTTTTTTTTTTAAAGATTTTATTTATTTGAGAGAGAGAGAGTGAGAGAGGGAGAGCCCAAGAGGGGGTAGGGTCAGAGGGAGAAGCAGACTCCCTGCTGAGCAGGGAGCCCGATGCAGGACTCTGGGATCATGACCTGAGCTGAAGGCAGTCGCTTAACCAACTGAGCCACCCAGGCACCCTTCTTTTTCTTTTTTTTAAAGATTTTATTTATTTATTTGAGAGAGTGAGCGAGCATGAGAGAGAGAGAGAGAAAGAGCACAAGCAGAGGGGAGGGGTAGAGGGAGAGGAAGACTCCCTGCTGAACAGGGAGCCTGATGGGGGACTCGATCTCAGGACCCTGAGATCATGACCTGAGCCTAAGGTAGATGCTTAACCGACTGAGCCACCCAGGCACCCTAGATCTTTCATTTCTTTCTGCAATGTTTCATAGTTTTCAGTGTACCGGACTTACACATATTTTGTTAACTTTATCCCTTGGTATCTTAAACTCTTGATACTATGGTTAAGTGGTATTTTAAAATTCCAATTCTCAGTTATTCATTGCTATTTATAAAAATAGATTAGATTTTTGAATATGTATCACATATCCTGCAACATTGCTAACATCACTTATTAGCTCTGGAAACTTTTAAGGTAGATTTCTTAGGATTTTCCATATGCATGAACATGTCATCTGTGAGTAAAGGTAATTTATTTCTTCCTTTCTAATTTGTATGCTTCTTCTTTATTTTTCTTTCTTGATTGCACTAGTTTGGAATTCTAGCATAATGGTGAATCGAAGAAGTGAGAATGGACATCTTTGTTTTGTTTCTGATATTTGAGAGAAAGCATTCAGTCTTTTACCATTGAGTATATTATTAGCTGTAGGTTTTTCGTAGATGCACTTTATCAGGTTGAGGAAGTTTTCCTCTATTCCTGCTTTGTTATTTTTTAAAATCATGTATGGGTATTAAATTTTGTCAGATGTTTTTTCTGTATCTATTGAGATGATCATATAGTTTTCTCTTCAATTATGTTAACATGCTAAATTACACTGTTTGATTTTTGAATGTTAAACCAATTTCACATTCCTAGGATGAGCCCCACTGGTCATAGTGTATTAATTTTAAATTGTTATTGAATGAAATTTGCTAATATTTTATTAAGAATTTTTACCTTGGGGTACCTGGCTGGCTCAATTGTAGAGCATGTGGTTCTTGATATTGTGGTCATGAGTTTGGGCATAGAGATTACTTTAAAAAAAAAAAGAATTTTTACATTTATGTTCATGAGGGATATTGGTCTATAGTTTAACTTTCTATCGTTTCCTGTTTTTGATATCAAGGTGATGTTGGCCTCATAAAATGAGATGGGAATTGATTTTTTTCCTCCACTTTTTTTCCTGAAAGAGTTTGCATAGGATTGGCTTGCTTGCTTGCTTGCTTGCTTTCTTTCTTTCTTTCTTTCTTTCTTTCTTTCTTTCTCTCACTCTCTCCTTCCTTCCTTCCAACCTTCCTATCTTTTCTTTCTTTCTTTCAGATTTTATTTATTTATTTGTCAGAGAGAAGCAGGTAGAGGGAGAAGCAGGCTCCCCGTTGAGCAAGGAGCCTGATGCAAAACTTGATCCCAGGACCCTGGGATCATGACCTGAACCCAAGGCAGATGCTTAACCAACTGAGCCACCCAGCCATCCTGACATTATTTCTTTCCTAAGTGTTTGAAAGAATTCACCATTTGACCTGGAGTTTTCATTATGGGAAGATTTTAGTTATAAATTTCTTTGATGTAGATATTTTCATATTTTCTATTTTTCTTGTGTCATTTTATAACGTATATCTCTCAAAATTTTTTTCCCTTTCAACTAAGTAGTCAAATTAATTGGCACATAGGTGTTTGTAATATCCCTTTGTTATTTTTTAAATGTCTTTAGGATCTATAGTGATATCATCTCTTTCATCTTTCATGATATTGGTAATTCTCTCTCCCTCTGGAGTTGGGATTATTAGAGTGAATGGTGTGGGAAGATAGGAAGTAGGACGTGGCAGATACAGGATGAGAATGCTTGCAATTGTAAGCATGGAGGGGTGCAGTTATGGGTAACAACAAGGAATACAGCCACATGAGTGGGTGGCTGAGGTGTGGTCGAAGACAAAGTCATTTCAGAAGAGGAGGTCAAGTTGCTGAGAGGCCAGAGTGTTGGAAGAAAATCTGAGAATAATAATGGGAGGAGTAGTGGGGAAAAAGACAGTGAGCCCAGTGTGAGAGGAAACCCTGGGAAGTATATTCTGGCATGAGAGTCAAAGGAGCTGGGCAAGGAGTGGGGATCTTAGGGAAGGCGTGGGGAACAATGCCTGGAAATGATAATGAGATGTGAAGAAGACTCTTCCCCTCTCCCAGGCCCAGAGGGAAAGCTTCAGGGGAGGTCCTGTTCTCAGGTAGAGCCAGGTATCCACCACTGCAGGAAGGTGAACCAGCTGTTCAGAGAAGAGGTGAGGATCTAGGGTTGATGGCTGAGGGCAGCTGAGTCCCAGTGGACACAGGGGAAGAATTGAGGATGGGAGTGTGAGAGAAGGGAATGTATGACCTACAGGAGGATGGGAATCTGGGTCCTTAGGGGGTGATCTGGGGTCTTGGCT